AGCAGCAGCAGCAGCTACCAAGCAGCAGCACCAGCTACCAAGCAGGAGCAGCAGCAGCAGCAGCAGGGAAAGAATGAGCTTTCCTTAGAGTCTTTCGTGCACAGTAATTGTAGAAGGCCGACGTGGAAAGACAGATATATCTGATATATATGTCTTTTACACGAATAAATGCTGACGATGCCACCAGCAGCGGTGTGCATGATTGACATCTAGGGGTTGCATGCGAACATGTGTCAGCGACAGCGACCGAAGACTCCGTCGCAACGCTTGTGCATGCTCCCTGTCGCTCGAACATGGAACGCGGACTACCATGAGTGAAGCAAACAGCCCGTTCAAACATCTTACTGGGTTCTGTCATTCATGTGTGTAGTAAGTATCATCTTTTGATCTGCATGGATAGCGGATAGTGCATTCTGATTTGTACTCTTGGGGGTTGTGGGGTGGGTACATGCCTTCTTAAGGAGATAATGAAATTAGCATCGTTTCACGACTCAGAGGGAATGCAACTACTCTCGGTTCTAACGAATAGGCTTTCTTCAGAACCAACAGCAGCCAACAACCCCAAACAGCAACAGCAGCAAAACGGAGCAGACAACAAGCAGCAGGCAGCCAGCATCCAGCAGCAGCAAGCATGCAAGCAGCAAGCAGCAGCAACCAGCCAAGAGCATCCAGCAGCACCAAGCATGCAAGCAGCAAGCAAGCAGCAGCAACCAGCAAGCAGCCAAGAGCCAGGCGCAGATGAGATGCCAGCGGCAGCAGCAGCGACCAAGCAGCAGCAGCAGGTACCGAGGAGGAGGAGGTGGAGTTGAACCCCGCGAGGGGGGGGGGTCTAGTCCTGATATATCAGGTAATAGCACTCAGGTCCTGGGCTCCCACCCTCCTTGCTAAAGCAAGACAGACTCCAGCTAGCTACAGCTAGCAGCTAGCTTTCGTGATTAAATATCGAATAGCCCTCAAAAGGTGTGATTCGGGGTGTCCATTTCTTCCACTCAACTGGACCGAAAGCTGGTGCCGCGATCACTGCCACGTTTCCACGCGACTCCCGTCCTGGCAATCTGCCGAGAGGTGCACCAAAGACTCGACTCGGCAGAAGGTGCATTCAAAGACCACGCGTGCCGCCGCCGCCCAGACCAAGGTGAAGGACGTCATCACAATCCTCAGGTGCCGATTGTGACGGCTGCGTTGGAGGTATTACAGCTGACCATCCATGTGTAGAGTAGTTACATATACATGTTACCCCATTTATGACCCTAATGAAAGTCAGGGTAACGTACCACATTTATATTTATTCCATGCTAGCTCTGGATCATTTGGGTATCCCTGCTACCACCTGTCCACTGGGGTGGGAGTCACCAGTAACGGCCGGGATCCTGGATTTCGATCTTGGAACCATGGAACCACTGAAACGACACCTTGGAACAGTTGGATTCATGATTGCTACCAAAGTCGCCTCAAGTTGGATTCATGGGAGGTCTAAGGGCTGCCCACAGGTTGCAAATCAATGGTGCTTCCATCTGCCGGTCGGACCGGCCAAACATGGGGACAAAATGACAATGTCTCACTTTCTGTTGTACTTTGCAGGGTTCAGGTAATGCATAATTAATCATGCTAAATTGCTTGGAGGAGTTCCCAGAAATCTCCGCTTTTAAGATGCCAAATTTGGCATCCCCATTGGTGGATGCATCATCTAGAACTGCTCTATAGATAGGCTCTTAGACTCTTAGGTGCCACCCAAAAAAAAACTCTCAAAAGGCCGACCTTTGACCAATGCAAGGATGGCTTCCTAAAGGGGTTAACCCCCACGGACCCCGTGCATTCCCTCTTCTTCGAGGTGATGCAAACGCTGCTTCACCGCGTTGTCCCACACGGTAGACGACCTAACCTGGCTGGTGGTGGTTTTCTTTCGCGCGCCCGATCTCGGCTCCGTGGTCAAGCATCGGAGAGACATAGATCTCCCCCACATCACCAGCCTTTCCAGAGTCCATGTCAACACAGAGTCGATAGCCTGGACGTGACATCGAAGAAGCACTGAGAAGCACTGCCTGGAAGGGTTCAAAAGATCCATAAGCCAAGTTGGTAGGTGTCGTGTTGCCATTGTGTCAATCAATCACAATGGGCTATTATACATACAATTATACATCCCACATTGATTTGCTTTATGGTATCATTATCATTATCGAATAACATCCTTTACAGCAAGTTTTGTCCCATCAACCATCTGGTCAAACAAGGGCAACAAAAAAGGCGTTACTGCCAGGACCTTCAGTTCCTGACAAAGACCTCCCTCCTCGGTGACCTTTGCAAGGAGACAGGGGTGGCCCGCTGGTATCTCCAGGTGCTGGTCATTCAGATTTCCCGTGCCAAATCTGTCGACTTCCCGTTTCGATCTGAGACCGAACCCGAAAAATACCTGGCAAAACCAACTTCGAGACCTTTGCGGCGTTTCCAAGTGGATCCAGTTCATTCATCGGATGTCAATAGGTACTGCAGTGGTTCCAAAGACGGCTCCTGGTTCCTTCCCCTGATCCCTGATGGCTCCTGGTTCCTTACTAAGTGGAATTCACTGGGATCCGGTATTCATTTGGAGTTTCCTTGCTTTCGGCCACGGTCCAACACTCGTCTCCGTGGATTTTTATCGGCAGCAAAAAGGCCCCAACGTGGAGTGCCGAACGTGTCGGTGACGCGACGCGAGAACGAGATGTTTCCCCTGTCCGAGTGTTTGGGAATATATTGGAATAGTTACTTACAGGCCGTATATGTTACACTTTGATGGTAAATGGAGGAAATAGAGTATATAAATAAATGGAGTAAATAAATTGAGTAAATTGAACAATCATGTGCAAGTAATCTGAGGGTCATTTTGAGCTCGACCTCCCAATAGGGTTTATTCGGCAGGGGATTATGTTACTAACTATTAAAACAATTCCATGGAGTGTCTGGGTATGTGTCAGGATCTCAAGAAAGCCAGAAAAATGATTGGGTTTCCAGGTAGACCTTGCAGGCCAAAGTGCTCATGCCAACCTCCAGGCTCTGAGCATTCAGCGTCAAAGTCAGATTTCTCTGGCCCTCCAGCTGCAACTGCGGTAGATCGCTCGCATGTGTGGTGCCTACAAACAACCAAAAGCAGTCTCTGTCTTGCGATCGGGTCCGCTCCAAACAGCAGTGGATGTCCTGTCATGTCCACTAACCGTGTGCCACTTTGTATGGCCTAACGGGCAAAATGGGCACGCGTCGATCGGCCAATTGGAGTGCAAAAGCTTCGCCATCACCAGGTTTGGTGGTATACACAGCGGAGCTTAGATCGATACTTGGTAGCTGGGATTTTCTTCTCCAGAATCTGTATATCATCATCACCAAAATGTTCAAACTCCAAGGGTTTCCTCAGCTGCAATCCGGAAGTGTGGTGGTTGGAAAGGGGTATTAAGAACTTCTATATCAGCTGGTTTCCTACTCCCCTCCTGGAAGTACCTTGGAAAATGGCGAGTCACTCGCACCTGCTTTTCTGTGGGGGTCACCTCCGTCATGTCTCATTTTCAGTATAGTTTAAAAGACTCCAGGTCCTTGGTCTATCTTGTCTCCAAGTTACAAGTGGATCTCGCCAGATACATCGAGACCGTGGCTGTGGCAGCACAGGTTGGGCAGCTGAATCGGATCTTCTGTGCGGCTGCTTGATTCACAGCCAGGGGGGTCCAATGCCACCACACCATTCACGTAGACCTACAGAATGGGCCGAGCCAAAGGCGTCGAGGCACGTCGGAAAGACACATCTACAATGTCCTGGTCATTCAAAAGGTTCGTCAACATTCCGATCATAGCGCAACTCACTCGCTCAAACGGAACAGTAAAAATTGGTTCGTAAACATGGAAGGTTGGAGGGTCCTTCGGATGTACACGCCTTGGAATCATCATGGAAGTGGATGGCATGGCCCCTTGGAAGACCGTTCTGTTTACAAACAGGTTGTGCCATCATTCACTTCCATGATTTTTCTATAGGGAGGGTAGATGGATATTGAAAATAGTCGGATACTTTGAAGGATGGAGGATCTGGTCAAATGTCTTCTTGACTCCTTTATCTCTAATTTTTCTGACTATAGACTTTTGGCCGGACTCCGCGTGGACTCGCTGGTCTCTGCAGTCGGACTCAGTGTGGCAAGATGTCGAAGGATTAAGCCGAATTAAGCCCTCTCTGAATCTAGGTGGTTGAAGAATTCATCCCCCAAACATTCCATGAGACTGAAAGATTTACCAGCAGAAAGACCCTCAATGCATCTTACAACCACAAGTATTCCGTGCACAAATTGTCTGGGTCCTAAAGATTTGTGAATCATCTCCTATACCAGCACCCTCCAACAGGTCTCTGAAATGGAGGCTTTTGTAGACTTAAAAGTCGCAGATGGTGACCTGTTGGAGGGTCCTGGTATATAATATATAATATAGATCATGCGAGATCCATCTCAAGGAGGAGTAACCCAAGTTCATGACGACACGCATGGCGGAGAAGTCTCTAGTCAGTCAACAGCTTACCCCACATGGCCTAGATGGTCATCATGGCCTATTCGTCAATGGGACATGTCCTGATAAACAACGCCAGGTACCTGCAGTCTCATTTCTTACCTCAGAAAATGAGTACGAGTACTCACTCGAGTACTCATATGGATCCAAACACCCTCTGAGAAAGTGATTCGACACTCTTTTATGTAGATTTATATAGAGAGAGAGGTATTGTGGATCCCTACAGTAAGGACTGTAGTATGACCCGCTATTTTCTTCGGGTGTCCCATGTTCCTTCGCGTCCCAAAACACGGTCCGTCGATGTCCATTGCTCGTGCGTCGTGCGTTGAAGGCATGCATGCCCGGGTCGGTGTGTTCCTCTGCGACCGAGTGATGCCACTTGGACCACCATTCACGCTGTGGAAGTCTACAGTAGGAGAGCCTGTTTTCAGGTCATTTGGAACTAACGTCATGTGACCTCGGAACGGTCATGATCTTCTCACCAAGAAGCTTCCAGTCCACTGTCGCCGGCCAGGAAGCCGGGCGAGGGGCCATCGAGGTCGATGCAGATCTTGTAGTGTCGCCCACTTTCCTATAGGCACTGTCATGGCCCTCCACAGCACCTGTACACCCCCAAGAAGTGAACAAAACAAAAGCTCATCATGCTCATCAGGGAGGTTCACCAATCCCATCCTAGCGCATCAAACCCAATCCAATCGTGGTTGTTGTCCCTTCAGACGTCGGTGACCCCGACGACCGCAGCTGGTCTTGTGTTTGTTGTGTCCGGGTCACTCACCATATCTCACCAGCCTACTACCATGAGTGGACCATGTGGTTATAATGTCTTTCCTGTCATTCGAACGCACACACCTGGACATTCCTTACGGCATCTTGCAGAGGGGACCGAACCGGATCCGGACTATACTACTTACCACATTTACCACCTCAAAGACTTCCCCAAAAAGCTGCACACTCCTTCCCACCGCTCGGTTCCCGCGCCACCCTTGCTCCCGGTGCCCCGATGCCGCTGTCGGGTCGCGAAACTGCTCACGTTCACCGGCAGGAGCCAAGCAGAGCCGTCTCGGCTCGCTAAACGTTCCAGGTACCGCGCCACGGCCGTGCGCGAAAGCGCCTCCTCGCAGCTTGTGGCCAAGTAGGCCTCCGAAAAATAGAAAAGGGCGCAGAAGAAAAGGGGTCGGCAAGGGGACGGTTTCTTGGTGCCCAGGACCTCGACTCATGTCAGGCGTCTCACAAAGTCTTAAAGACAAAAAGAATCAACTTGGAACTCCTGGGTCAGGCCAAGAAAATGGCGGCATGCTGCATGAAATATGCATGCATGGATTATTTTTGAGGGAGTGGAACCACTCTCATCATCTGTCATCAACTCTGGTCAGATATGGAGATTCCTTTTCTCAGTCCATCTCAGGAAGAGCGTCCAAATTGGAGTGGGAACCACTAAAGTTCTCAGGTTCGTGCCCATAATTCCCAGGGATTCCACGGTTCAAACTGGCACCAATCCCGAGCACGCTTTTGGTTCACGTGTTCCGGTTCGTTCCGATTCTATGTTTGAGCGGATATGTGTTACTCTTCGTAGCTGGAACTCATCCAGGTCAGACCGATCCAGGTCGATTTTGACTGAAGTGTCACACAACATGGAGTGTTCAGCCAATGAATTTTGGCTGTTTTTGAGAGAATTGGCCACTTCTGAGATTCAGAAGGTCTTTGCTGGTTTGGTGATCTCGAAAATGGATGGACCTGAAAAAGGAAGGTCCATCTGTTTTATTGGCGGTGTTTGTTTTGTTCCGGGCCGGCCTTGTGAGCTGCAGCTCAGAAGGGAGCTATACAGATCAAAACCATCGGACCCTATATAAATATTAGATGCTAAGTTAAGTGTCGAAATGTTTTCATTTCTCCACAATTCTAGCGTACATTATACATCATTTTTCTGAAGCTTAATCGAACACATAGAAGATTGATAGAGCTCCAGTACAAACGCAACGTCATATCTGCCTGACCTTTGTTCTGCTGCTGTTTTGATTAAGTCCCTCAGAAAGATGGCATCATCTACAAGTGGACCTGGAGGTCATCACAGAAACTCCTCCAGATTCCAAAGTCAATCTGGAACCTAACAGAACTGAGAAAAAACACAACAATGCAATAAACTGTTTCAATCTGCTTAGTGCTTCAGATTCTTTGCCTCAAAGCCAAAAGAAGGCCTCTAGTGACCTCCTCTCAGATCGGCCGTCGATCGTCGGCCCACATTCCGAGCGCAGTGACGAGGGACGGATCATCGTTCCTCGTCGCGGGGCACGGAACGCGTCGCGGTGGCCTGAGTGACCTCTGAGCATCGCAGGGCGCAGCCGATGCGGAGGCGTTGGATGTCCACACCCTGCGTCACCTGAGGATCGATGGCGCGTTGAACGGTGGGTGTCTCGCTCCAGCTTCTGCGTGCAGTTGGTCTGGCGCCATGTGGCGCAACGTTTGGGGAGAAGAAAACAAACGGGGCTAGAAACTATCAGAAAAAAAACAGCCCTGAGGTACCTCATAGATTCCCGAAAATGATTAGGAATCAGGGAGGAAAGGAACAAAACTCATCCCGTTACCAGACCTTCAAAGCGACACTTTGTAGTCATGAATGGTCCCCTTTTTCGAAGGTCCTTGATGGGGGCAAAACGCATTTTAACTCTGGAAGGTACTGTTGGAAGGTGACTCCGGCACCGCCTGCTAGAGTGAGACTATAAACGACCTATACAATTGACCCTCCAACCAACTACCCGGAATCGATATATAGGCATTATTATTATACAATCATTCTAGATTTCATGGAGTGACGGTCGTGATGTTCAAATTCGCCAAGCTCACTGTAGAGGGTTCCACTCCACTCGAAAGCATCTGGTCCGGTGCTGCAAAGACTTCCTGGACAGAGCCTGCGCGTGCGTTCGTTCGCACTCTCCGCGCGTGATCTGTCGTACACTGACTAGGTGTGACTGGGTGTGCCGGTCGTCACTCACGGCGCTGTGAAGCGTCTCGGAAACACACATCAAGGCGGATCAAGGAGGATCAAAAAGGATCAAGGTGGGATGGGCTTGCGGACCTTCCAGAAGACCCCTTTTGGTTCAGGGTCGGCATCTCGAGGAGATGCCATTGCAGCGCTGAGTTTGGAAGCGCAGGTGCATGAATAAGTCGTGCAGGGTCAAAACTAAAGCCTGCTGCAGCCTTCCGAGATCATTCACAACCAAAGGTTATCCTGAACGACTGTAGTCTAAAATAGTCTACATCAACATGTCCAAACCTCCTCTCAATGGAACCATAAAATGGTCTGTCAATACCCATGTATGAACCCTAGAGTATACTTATTTAGTGGGACTTCGTGCGGTTTCGACCGGGCGACAACACAAAAACCGGCTGTTCGCTACTTCGAAGGGAGCATTTTGGGTGGAGCGTGTGCTTGAACTGACGAAGCTTCTCAAAAATGAAGCGAACTGAAGAGTGCTTGAGCTTCCCCAGAAGGATTCCATGGCGAATCGAATCCTTATGCAAGGATATTCCATGAGAAGTTGAGGGACCCAGCCGTGATCATCTTATCTCTGAGTTCAGCATATCATGCTGTGAAGACTCCTCGTTTCCTAACTCAGGACCATCGGATCAACAGCAGTTCGACCCTCAGGGGGAGCACGCCATCGAAAAGCCCGAAGCCTGCAACGAAAAACCCTCTGGCAAAAGCAATTGTACAAGGTAAGACCGAAGAGACAAAAAAAAAACGACAGAAAAGCAGAAAAGCCCAATACTCACCCTACTCAGCCCAGCCAGCCCAATAAGACCACCAAAACCGAGAAAAACCGCAGCCAGCTTCTGGTCCTGTAGGCCTGCCTTGTGTTCTGAAGCGAACCTCGACCGACCGAACACGACTCCCGCGCCTGACTCCAGGGGCCCCGCACCGTCCAGGTCCAAACAGAGGTTGTACGACACGCCTCGCGCGTGGTCGCGCGCGCGCGCGCGCGCGCGCCGTGGGAGAAGGCGCACGGTGCGAGAGGGTGGGAGAACGAATGACACTGACGGATAGACGATAGAAGGTCAGAAGGTGAAAACATGGTGAAAGCTCCATGAGTGACAGGGTTTGAGGTGCTGGATCAGTTTTCAGCATCAGCCAGCTGACATATTGAACGACTCTTCTGAACTCCTGACTAGATTATAGATCATAACTCCATGGATCCATAAGCCCCTTTACTACACATGACATCGACCATGTTCCTTGTAGATTGCTAGGGAGACCTCAACATTGGGTGCCGAGTTAAGAATTGTGACTGCCGGCATCTTGGGCTTGACAATGAACAGGAACTCACTTCTCACAACCAATAACTGCATTATAGAATAGTGAGATATATAATATAATATATATGTATCTATATCATGGGGGTCGGGGTGTCCATGTATTATATGTATTATATAAAATATAGATCCTTCTAGTCTAGCACCAGCAGCCAAGAGTACTAAGCAAGGGGGTTCTATTCCATACCTCATCTGCTCTGGATTCTGCGGCCTGTTTCCAGAGGTGTGCCATCCAGGATGGCGCACCAGCCATTCGTCCTGGAACCGGCACCGCTGGGGTTGACCAGGAGCATCATGGACCACGCAATAGGACCCAGAAGGGCTTTATGTGGACAGTGATAAGCTTTAAGAGGCTTTGAGGCGAGATCCAGTCGATTTGGTCAAATTGCTGTGAATCGCTTCATGTTTGGTCCACCAGGGTCCCCCTCTTTGGACTGCACCATGTCAACTGCTACCTTTCAGCTGGGGAACATTCCTTTTGATGATCACCAGTTGACCTGTGTGGATGAAAAGCTTTTGAACCCGTGCACTTTCTGCGTATTTTTAGGACTGGGCGAGGGTTAAACGATTTGAATACGCTCTTCTTT